TTTTTGACCTTTGATCCAAGGTTATTTTTTCCCCTAGTTTACCCAACCAGTTATCTATGCCAGGTATCAAGGCAAATTGGAGGTTTTATTGATCAACTGGCAACGTTAATACAAATAGTCAAAATGATAATTGCAGCCTTATTTCTCATAATCTATCCATTTGAACAACCAACATTTAAAAAAAAATCCTTTAAGGGAACAACCGTTTACATGAAACTACAGGCTTTTCTTATTAGTTTTACTCCGAGGAAAATACTTGAGTAATTGCTCTACTTTTGAACTTTACTATTATGGCATTATTATTGTATTATTGAAATTGAATACTTGTACTCTTACTCAAGTAAATTTACAAGAGAAATACTCGCTAAAAATATCAAATGCCACGACCTGCTATTCCAGTTTAGTTTTTTAAATTTGTATTTTTAAGACATCCAATCAACAGAAAAACTGCAGTTAGTTTAACAATCACAGCTAGCTTTAAGCTTGGTGAATTTGCTTGCTAGTTTTGTTTTGTTGCTAATGCTGGCTTAGCATTAAATCCAACAAGGATATTATGCATTAGCTAAGTCAAGTCAAATTCTAGGTTTGTCTAGAAATGAATAAATATTTAATAAAATAAATAAAACAATAAAAATGTATGTCTAGATTGCAAATTTTTGATCTCTAAATAATATTTACTTTTACTCTTGAATATTGGAGTTTGTTTAAATATAGATACTTTCACTCTGACCTTCACTCAAGCAGACATTAGATTCGATACTTTTACTTTTAAGTGAAATTTTGACACTCACGCATACTTCTTAGTACTTTTTCCACTACTGTACTTAATAAATAATATGCTTTTATATGAATAACTGAATAATAAGCTTTGGGTTTAGGGATTAAAATGAACCTTGGCTTGCTTTTTGTCCTTGGCTGTAGGTGTCCTGTGCACTCTGACCACAGTGGGAGAGTGGACAGTGTTAGAGGGTCAATCGATCATTGTCCCCTGCCATTACAACCCTGAGTACACTCTGAATGTGAAGTACTGGTGCCAGGGCCCCCTGAAGGACTTCTGCACCTCTCTGGCACGCACAGACCAGCCGGAATCTGCTCCATCCTCAAAAGCGAGAATAACGATTGCTGATGACCCGAGGCAGTATGTGTTCACAGTGACCATGCGTGAGCTGAAGGAGGAGGACTCGGGCCGGTACTGGTGCGGCGCGGAAATAGGAGGGATATGGAGCAAGGATAGCACCACGTCATTTTATATAAGTGTCATACACGGTTAGTGGGGGAAGCTGATTTAATCTATATCTGCCTGGTCTAAAGGTGTTGATTAATTTTCTATAACAGCAGATCTGATGGTATTTCTCACTGTATTTCAAAGCACAGGTTTATATTATTGCACTTATTGTAATATATTTCTACTAAGGTTCAACTAACAATGGGCCTCATCCCATCCCATCAAACCCATTATCAAACTGAATATGAACGTCTTTATTCATAAATAGTTCATATGAGCCACACAAGAAATTTGGTATCCTGTAAATTTGGAAAAATGTACATATCCTACTCATAGTCCTGAGTGTGTATATACAGTTAGGTCCGGAAGTATTTGGACAATGACAGAGTTTTTGCGATTTTGCCTTTATACACCACCACAATGGATTTGATATAAAACAATCAAGATGTGATAGAAGTGTAAGACTTTCAGCTTTATTTTAAGAGGTTCAAGATTGACTTGTAGCAGAATGATGGGAAGAGAAAAGTATGGTGAAAGAAAGGAACAGCTCATGATTCAAACTATACCACATCATGTGTCAAACATGGTGGAGGCAGTGTTATGGCATGGGCATGTATGGCTGCCAATGGAACGGGCTCACTGGTGTTTACTGATGATGCGACTGCTGACAGAAGTAGCAAGATGAATTCTGAGGTGTATAGGGCTCTGCTCTCTGCTCACATTCAGCCAAATGCTACAAAACTGATAGGACGCCGCTTCACAGTGCAGGTGGATAATGACCCTAAACATACTGCGAAAGCAATTCAAGACTTTATGAAGGCAAAGAAATGGAATATCCTTCAATGGCCAAGTCAGTCACCTGATCTCAACCCAGTAGAGCTGCTTTTCACTTACTGAAGACAAGACTGAAGGCAGAAAGACCCACAAACAAGCAGCAACTGAAGGTGGCTGCAGTGAAGTTGAGTTTTGAGAACATGGGCTCCAGACTTCAGGCAGTCATTGACTGCAAAGGATTTTCATCCAAGTATTAAAATTATGGTTATATTTACAATTATGTCACTTTGTCCAAATACCTTTGAGCCTCTGAAAATGGAGGTACTTTGCTGAAAATGGCTGTAATTCCTAAATGGTAAATGCCATATTTTTGTGGAACCTCTTAAAATAAAGCTGAAAGTCTACACTTTGATCACATCTTGATTGTTTTATTTCAAATCCATTGTGTTGGTGTATAAAGGCAAAATCACAAAAACTCTGTCATTGTCCAAATACTTCCGGACCTAACTGTATACATTCAACATTCAAATCATATAATTTGCTTGGGCTACAACACTTTTATACATGGAATATATTGTCACATTTAAACTGATTTTTTTTTTTTTTTTTTACAACTTTTAGCAGATGCCCTTATCCGGAATGAACTTATAGAAGAGCTTTGGAGTTTCTGTCAAAAACACATCCTCATGCTAGTTCACTATGTCAGGGACTAAGAATAACGTTGAGAACATTTTGTGAAAACCAGTCATTTTATATTATTGGCATTAATTAAAGAATATGAAAAATAAAGAAAGCAAGCTAACACAAACCCATAAATTATAACAAAAGAAATGGCGGCATATAAATGGAGGACTGGACAGTAAACAAATGCCTCAGCTGATGGAAGATTTAGCACTCATTTATTATTATTATTATTATCATTATTATTATTAGTAGTAGTAGTAGTAGTAGTAGTATTACATATTTTTGTAAAGAGGTGTAAAGAGGAATAATACAAGTGTTTTTAGGATGCGCTGGTGTTAGAAAATAATGAACTTGTTGTGGAATATTTTTTCTATAACTGTACACCCCATCATGTTTTATTCCTTACCTAATAATTTGAATAATTGAATCAGCCAGCAAGTTTCAAAACCTGCTTGTCAGATTGTATTTCATTCCCCAGTTAAAATATAGGACTTTTACCAATAGTGAAAGTGAAGAAACTGCTAGTCAGGAGGCAGTAAACAGATTTTTGGTGACAGCATTTTGGTTTCTACAATAACAACTAATACAAAAACAGTTATGATGTGCTTCTTACTTCAGTGGCTCATACAGTTTACAATTATTCTCCAAGACCTTATAAAGACAATATAACACTCATATTAATTGTTTTTTTGTTTTATTTGTATTTTAGGTATGTCAGTAGCAAACAATGAAGTAAGTGCTGAGGTGGGTGGCAGTGTCACTGTGCAGTGCCTCTACAGTGAGAAACACAGGTACTGCACTAAATATTTTTGCATATTTCTCACTGCAGATGTTGTTTCAGACATATTATACCTCAGGTTTGCAGTTCCCCAGGCCTAATTTTGTTCTATTCCAGTTACAACTAGAACAAAAGAAATGCATAGTGCCATTAACACACCACAGTGATTGCACACACACACACACACACACACACAAAAAGATTTTTTAAAGTGCCCTTGTTATTTTCCATTAGAGAGAATGAGAAGAGATGGTGCAGGAGTGGTGACTTAAGCTCCTGCAAGGTTACAAGCAATGGGACGTTCAGCAGTGAATCTCTGCTCATCAGCGATGACAGGAAGGACACAGTTACCGTGACGATGAGGCGTCTGGAGAAGCGGGACACAGGATGGTACTGGTGCGAAGCTGGCGAGCACCAATTGTTCATTCATGTGTTAGTCACTCCAAGATCAACCACAAGTATGTAATAGGCCTACACACACACACACACACTCACACACACAAACACACTCACACACATTTGTGTATGATAAATAAACCATCTTATTTTCATGGGTTAATTAGTTAGAGTAAATGCCTGCCTATCTGATAAATCAAAGATTCTTTTCCAATTATATATTATAAGTACAGAAATGTTCTATTTTGACCTTATAAAGTGAAATCCAGAAATTATTTCCTAGGACTTAAAATCTCAGAAATGCTCAGAAAAGTCACTCAAAAAACACTCAAAAAAGACTTGACGAGACATTGCACAATCAGAATATAAATACACAAACTAATCTGAGACACAGAACAGGTGAACACAATAGGATAACAAATCAATAACAGGAAAGGGGATGGAGAGACAGGACAAAAATTGAAACAAAAACTGTGGTGAGCTCAGAGTGTTCCCCCTAATAATAAAAGGTAGTTATTTCCAATAATAATAATAATAATAATAATAATAATAATAATAATAATAATAATAATAATATTCTCCAGTATAAATTCTATGATAATAAATCCATTAACTTTATCACAATATTATTGTTAGGACTTTTTCAGCATCATTTTCTGTTTCATCTGTTTTCCTACAGCTGCTTTGGATGTAAAAACACAACAGCATTTGCCCGAGGTTAAAGCTCAGAACTCCAACAGGTGAGCAGACTAGCTATCCCACCCTTTTTTTTTCATACTGCACGACATATCGTTGCTTTATTCATTTATACCACAGCGCTGTTGAATTCTTGAATCTGATTGGGCAGAAGGTGCTGATTGATATTATTTAATGGCTTACACATTTTATTTTGAATTTTTGGTCAGGAATAACTATAAATGAATAAAACATTCATGCCATTTTCAGACCTGCCAACCTCTATGCACAAGTATGCTGCTTAAAAATACACACACAAAAAAAAGCGTTTTGAACTCTCTACTATTAAGTGACACCCTGGAAGTCCCACCCCCTTTCCCCTTTTCACATTAATAACCTTTTGTCTCCTCTTGATTTTCCCACTTGAAAGATGCGGCCTCACTTTCTGTCATGGTAAATGGAGAATGTGGTAGGGGTAGCTCAGTGGTTAAGACGTCGGACTACTAACCGGAAAGTCATGAGTTCAGTCCCCAGCACCACCAAGTTGCTACTGCTGGGCCCTTGAGCAAGGCCCTTAATCCTCAACTGCTCAGTTGTATATAAATGAGATAATCATAAGTTGCTCTGGATAAGGGTGTCTGTTAAATGCTGTAAATGTAGATGAGAATGTTTTGAATTCACTAATGCTAAATATCTATCAATATGTTCAACTGAGCTAACATTAGACAAGTATATATAGTTAACATCAGTTAGCTATGTTTATAAGGATACCACTGAAAAATTTCAGGTGAAAATAGTCAAAAATGGTACTTGTTCAGCTGAAAGAAGCACAAAAAGCTTAAATCTAAATCTCCACAGCCATGGTTAAGCCTGTTGAAGTAGTAATATGTTCACATATACAGGGTTTAAAGGTAACTACCAGGCAGACAGTAGCTCATGTCTCACCCCAGCCCCCCAAAAAATCGCCTGGTGGTTACCGTAAAACCCTGTATATACATGTAATGCAGTATGTTACTTAACCAAGTGATTCGTGAAAAAGGACTACATTGAAAATATAAAGATGTATGTTGTTTTAATGGTAGATCAGGAAGGAGGTTTGTGATTTTCTAAAATGTGACACATAAGAAGACCCAACAACATTCACTGCAGGTATTGGTTTAGCAGAATTCACAGTATTTACTTCAAGTACTCATATTTATGTCTGTTGTGTTACAGTCACAATGTTTGGCAGTCTCTTCTGATAGTGTGTGGAGCTCTGTTCTTGGTAACATGGATGATATGGAAGCAATTTAGTAAGTTCCTAAAAATTTCAATTCAACTCTAGTCTGATGTTCTTGGAGCTTACACGTCATGCATCACCTGGGATACATTTTTATATTTAAATTGAAAAGACATTGCCCTGGCTTTCTCCCTATTGTGCAGACTTCTGACTGCGACCAACCTCTCTGCTTTAACTACAGCGTACTAGTAACAGAAATAACTAATATATTGGCATCGTTCTCACTAACTGCTAACTTATAGTACATATCAAACAGACTCTTTTTTTCATTTGTAGTTTCATTTTTTAATGTTACTGAAATTTCACCTAACAAGTTCCTGTTTCACTTATGTTACAGCAGCTATAAAGAGTCATTCACTTACCAGTGTGTCTTTTTTCTATTTTTCTTGAATTTAAAAAGACAAAAGTATACATCTTGTCACACTAATGAGAAACCACAAAAGTCATTTTTCCCTGAAGACACCATGCCAAAAAAAAACTTTATTTGAATTTGCTTCACTTATTCTTTGTTACACTTACTTAAATCTACAAAGTTAAGTTTAAAGAACTAATTAAGTCGATTTTGAAGTGCTCTTTTGTTTATAAGGCTATGTTAAAAATAAAACAGCTCACTCACGCTCAGTAACTGCTTTATCCTTATCAGGGCCACGGTGGATCCGGAGTCTATCCCGGGAACACTGGGCGTGAGGCGGGAATACACCTTTTTTGGGACACCACTCTATTGCAGAAAGCCATACACACACATTGACACACTCATTTGCAACTAGGGGCAATATATCATAGACACTCCACCTACAGGCATGTTTTTGGGAGGTGGGAGGAAACCGGAGAACCCGGCGGAAACCCGCACAAACACGGAGAGAACATGCGAAACTCCACACAGACACAAACCTGACACCAGGATTGACTCTGGGATCCTGGAGCTATATATATATATATACATATGTGTGTGTGTGTGTGTGTGTGTGTGTGTGTGTGTGGGAGGGGTGGGGGTTGGGTGTGTGTGTGTGTGTGTCTTATTTTACCTGATTAGTATCCATGAACTAATCATTAATGGTCAAGCATTAAAAATTACTGTTGTTGCCATTTAGTCATGATAGTCTCTTCTTTATAAGGATGGGATTTCATGAAACTGGACGTTTACAAATTTTACCTGAATACCTCTGGCCTATATTGCTCACTATTTCTGAACTAACTGAATTGATGTTAAGTGAAAGTACACCACAACAAGGATTTTTCTGTATGATGTGTTAAAAAAAAACTCAGAGTCACATGAGTTGTGCTTACTTAAAATTTCACACACAAAAATGCAGCAACTCAATCAGATTGAGTTCTTCTAAAAATGTTCAGTTACTGAGTTCTCATAACCTTATTCCGATAAGTAAATCTGTCACTTAAATGCATTTGAGTAGTGATTACTAATTTTATTTAGTTATTTCCACCGTTTTATAGTGTGTGATTTGACTTGCAGCCATCACTGCTGTCAGAGCTGCTGTTATATAATCAAATTATACCACAGTGCTGTTGAATTCTTGATACTGATTGGTCAGAAGATGTTGATAAAATTTCTATAACAGCAGCTCTGACAGTAGTTCTGGCAGTAAATCACAGGTTTATATTACTGCACTTGTTCTTATTGTTGATTTTTTCTGTGTAGAGATGTTTATTTTGCCTATTTGGAAGGAGTTTCTATTTTGTAACAGTCAGACGTAAAGCTCAGAGTGGTATAGAGCCTCTACGGCTGATATAACCTAAGAGATAACAGGAACTAACTTGATTCTCATACGTTGCATGTAACTACATATGGGTAAACTAAAAACATAAATAAAATAAAAATTGTAATCACTGGCAAATTGCTGTGGTGTAAGAGGAACAAAACACTTCTATTATAGTAAACTAATCAACTTCAGGGAAGAAAGTCCACTTCTTGTCGTAATGCAACTCCATCCTGTTGTTGATTATTTTTCTATATCATCATGCTCCATCATGTTATATTCCTTACTTATTCAACATGCTCTGGCCAAAGAAATTGAGAACTTAATAGCATTGTGGTAAAACAATGACATAAGCTGGTATTATATTCTTCTTGTCGCAGAGAAGACACCTAATCATAGGAAGCTGGACGAACCCGAAACATGGTGTATCCCAGATTATGCCACATTTTTATACACTATACAAGCAAAAGTTTGTGGACACCTGACCATCACACCCGTATGTGAGACTTCTCCAAACTGTTGTCACAAAATTGAAAGCACACAACTGTCTAGGTTGTCTGTGTATGCTGTAGCATTAAGATTTCCCTTCTCTGGGACTAAGAGGCGTAAACCTATTCCAGCATGACAATGCCCCTTTGCGCAAAGCAAGCTCCTTGAAGACATCTCGACCCCACTGAGAGTCAGGCCTTCTCACCTGACATCAGTGCTCTACTTCAGTAATGCTCATGGCGGAATGAACAGATCCCCACAGCCATGCTCCAAAATCTATTGGAAACCTTTCCAGATGAGCAAAGGAGAACGACTCCATATCCAATGTTCAACTAGCATATATGGGTGTGATGGTCAGGTGTCCACATACTTTTGGCCGTATTTTATGAAGCCATTTTGGAAGTTTTGTAAGCACTAAAGCTGCTGACATTCTGTCCTCAGGTGTGCCCAAGGAAATGCGGAAGCTAGAAAACTCTCCTGTCATCTTCCAGAACACTTTAGCCCATCAGGTCCACATAACTGAGAAAGACTTCTTACAATGACATGAGGAAAAGAGACAACTAGAAGACAGTAGAGAGTTTTGATATAAAGAGGAAATTAAACCACCGAGCACTTATGACACATGAAAAAGCCTGTCGCATACATTCTTCAGTGACCATTCAACTACATGTGATGCAGTTCAAATTCAAATTTGACTTAATGAAGCTTTATGGCTTTGAACAAAATTCTTCTGTGTACAGTAGTTATCAAACATGCTTGATATCTGTTTGTCCAAAAAGGAGCAATGGAGGCGTTTGTCCAAGTTCTTTATATGATGACAGTAAATTGATGCAATTAGCAATTTTTGGTGCCTTCTCAGCCTAAACACCATCTCATCTCATGATTAAAAAAACTAATGTAATTTATTTAAAATTCCAAAATGCTAAAGGAGATTTTAGCAGCTGTAGCTTATGACGTCATAAAATCGCTATCATTTTCTGTATACGTCTATAAATTCTTAATGTGGGTTTTTAAATAAGGAATACGACACGATGGGGTGTGCTGTTATAAGAAAATAATCAACAGTGGGGCAGGGTTATTTTTTTTCCAAATAACAGCACATCCTAAATCATTTTATTATCTTATACCACAGATATATGCCAGCAATGACATTTATTTTATTTACTAACAAACAACAATCCTTTTTGTCCATTTATAGTTACGTTTATTGTTAAATGTACACAAAACAAGTTAGTTCCTGTTATCAGTTCCTGTTATTTTAGCTATAGCAGCTGTAAACAGTCTTTCCTCACCAGCTTCTTTCCCCCTTCTCTCCTGAATATAACGATAAAAAAAAAACATCTTCTCACGGTATAAGGAAACCATAAAGCCCCCTGTCCTGAAGTCTTTGTCACATCGAAAAATTGTATTTTGCAGCTTTACCTCTGCCTAATACAAAGTGCTGACACTAAAGACTCCTTCCAAAAAGTTAAATAAATGTCTTCTCACAGAAAATTTCATCATATCATCAGTTACACACTTATGTAATCAGTTTACGTAGTGAGCACGCCACAAATGCCCCAGTGAATGAGTTGTTACAATAGAAACAATAACTTTATAGGATTAGCACCTTTCTATGAACCTCACAGCCAGAACTCATCAACTGTTTCTGAATCTGCAGTGGAATTATGTGTCTATAATTAATGTAATAATTAATCTATTATTGCTTTGGAAAATTTTCAATAAAGTATAACACTAAAAAGCTATTATTAGTCTTCCTTTTCTTCCCCAGTGCGAATTTCCTCTTAAAGATTTCTCAATCCTGCATGGTAAGCAATATTAAAAGCAGTAAAGCCAAAAATCGACCCACTCAAATAAACGCAATCAGATAGAACGTGGATCGCCAGAACCTATCATACACAAGAACCTGTTATTTTTAGCTAACATTAAGCTGACATGTAGATGAGGTGATGAATTTGTTTGGATTTCAAAGATAATAAGTTACATTAAGTGGATATCTAGCAAAATAAAGGTAATTTTAATGTTGTGTAGTTGTCACGAACTCCCCCCTCACCGCGTG